TTTTTTTACACCCTGTACAAACAGGTTATTACTTACTGCTTTGAGTCATACTAATTCACTTGTGGAGCCTCTTCTTGTAACTTGCATATGATACATTATTTAATTCCTGGTGGAGTGAACAAATGCAAACAGTTTGGCTTTACGATGTGATATATGCATGGCAAATGAAAAACCTCAAAATGTTAATATGAATCAGGAAGTCTTTTTTTAAAACGTTAATAGCTGTGGATGCAAAACTGATAACTAAGGGGTTTCATTTTTAACAGCATCGCTACAAATCAGACCTGAACTTCATGAAAGGGGTTGGTTGGATGGCTCTGAGATCTCCGCAGATAGAAAGTGTAAAGAAGGCTGGAGAGCTCATCAGCGAGGTAACTGATAAATCTTTCATGGGATAGCACATCTGTAGGAATTGTTTACCATCAAGGCTCCTCGTTACATGACACTTACGAATGTAGCTTATCATTTCCTTTTGATGCAGGAGCCTGTTTATACAAGGTGTAAGTTACCAAGAAGCAGTATGGGAGATACAAGTCCACTGCATGACACCTGCTGAATATTTTCCATTCTGAATGAAACACAAGACTGTAAACAAAATATGTAGCAATAAATAAATGCAGTAAAATCTATTATGAAAATGTAAGCAGGTCATTAAGAAGTAATATAGGAAGACACAGTATTGACAGTCACATTGAAGGGGGCAGCAGCCTGTTCAGTATGCTGTACTAAAGAAGAATAATTATGAGTTGTCCTAAGTATAGTGTTTGAGAGCTTTTTGCATGTGAATTTTCAGTGTAAAACCTGCCTCACAAACAAAACAAGTCTGGTGCCTGGGCACCACTGAAGTGATATAGTAGCATTCCTACTCCCAAGCTGAAAGAGTAACTCAGACTAAATCGTATTTTTTTTTAATACTGTGGCCTCAAGAAGGTAATTTTATTGTCCTACTCTAGTTATCACATATTTGAAATCCTGGTTTATCTCTGTCTAATGTAAACCTCTTGGATTTTGTTTTTGTTCTCTTCCCCGACATCCCTTGCAGACAAAGTACCGTCAGAAGCCAGAAAGCTTGAAGTTCACTGCTGTGGTTGACTCTCCAGATTTGATTCATGCTAAGAATAGCTACCTCCAGTGCAGTGATGTAGGTTTGATTTTACTCTAAATTATCTTAACTTCTGTTGTACTAATGACCTCGACTTTGCTTCCAGTATATATTGTTTCCTTTGTATTCAATGACTTTTGGCTCCGCAGAGGCTGTACAAGGCTGGAGACTCCGAAGCCAGGCACCGGTACACCCTGCCTCCCGATCACCCAGACTTCATCCGAGCCCGCCAGAATGCTCTTCAAATCAGCGATGTAAGGACAGAGCCTTTTACCTCATTTAAGAAAACAAACTTGCCTGGGAATGAAAAAAAACTTTCCTGTATATGTAGACACGAAGTTCTTTGCTGAGCGTGGCTGAAAAAAGCCCGAGGTTGCGGACAGCTAACATGTTGCTAGGACTGAGCTGATGGGATTACAAAAAGTTTGTTTTTCCTTTTGGGAATCAATTCTTCTTTCTAGGGCAGGAAGCTATTAAGCATTTCTGTCCTTCAGTTTAGCTACAATTAGTTACAAATTTAGATGAATGAACTTCCATTTGGGTGAGGGAGAAGAAAAAAAATATCTTCTCTTTCCTTGACTATGCGATCTAACTTTGTGGGGTTGGAAAAATTTATTTTAAACTGATTCTTTAGACACAGTTGTCATCAAAAAAGGTGGAATGGCATCAGTAAGTGGGATTGTTTTAAAGGGTTCAGCTTCCACCCCACTCCAAACAGGCATCTTGTCTATCCCAACTCTTTGTTTCCTGTCTT